TCCCAAGAATATTGGTTCAGAGTAGAACTCTTCTTAAAGTATTCAATATTCAATTTATGTAAATTTAAAAGAACATGTTTAACTTTTGACCCCTTAAAGATAAAAAAGATAGCTAAAGAACCTTTTTTTCTTGCCCAAAGAAAAATGCACAGGCGAACATCTTATAAAATGTGCATTGACTTCACTTAATTTATTAAAAGACATTTAAAAGTGAAAAAGCATGTGAAAAGGAACATAATAGAATAATTGCATAGTAAAGTTACACATAACCCAATGTTATTTGATTTTCCTCAGGCACATTTTACTGTTGTGTTTATTAGTGATTATGCCAATCTCATAGTCTGCAAAAAAAAAAAAAAAAAAAAAAGAAGGGGGGTGGACTCACAGGGTCAGTAGAGAATCCTCAGTCTCTCTAGGGAAGGAAGAATGAAGGAAGTGTATCTGCCACCTCTGCAGCTCCACATCTGTGGCAGTCCTGGCTGCAAACCAGACATGAAGCAGTATTCTAAGGCACTGACGGCAGTGTTCCTATCCCAGTTACCACACTTGCTCTGAGAATTGTTAACCCGGAAAGCAACCAGGGGCACAGTCTGAGAGATCCATGTACCATATCATGGCTTCTCTGAGTACTCAGTGGCTCCAGAGCTACAGATAGAGTTTTATTTTCTAACTGAAAATGTAAACAATTGGCTTTTGTCTCACTTTAGGCCTAAGAAGAAGTCTAAAGTAAATATTTTCTCAGATATCTGGAAAGTATATTCTAGAAAAAAGCCATAATATTCAAAGTGGATCCATCTTAGGAAAAAACATTTTTAATCTCCATAACAAAAGGAAATAAAAGCCAAGGCAACCAATCTAGAAAGACTTTCCCTTTTCTCTCTGGGCTCCCATAGGTATATTCCTTATTTTCCAAGCCAGGGATAAGGACACGTAGTCTTAATAATCCAAATGTATCCATGGGGAAATGGGCTATATAATTGGAAGCAACACTTACAGAAAATGCGAGACACCGTCACCATATGTGTATGGAGTCAGGAGACAGTGACATTTATCTGTGGAGGCACTAGTTATCTGACCTTTTCCTCAGAGCATCTCTAATTTTGTTTTTTAAAAAATATATTTTGCCATTTATAGTGATTCATATAATTCCTGGATAAGAAGTTGGGAGGCTCATTGCAAGAAGTTGAACTTTTCCTGCAATGGCTTCCATGCAATGAACACATATGTATGAGAAAAAAAAAAAAATTCCTGTTTTATGAAAGTAATAGTTAGTTGACATTTTAAATATTCTTTTGTTGTAAACGTTGTTTCAGAGACAAGCAGAGATAATCTCCGCATGGAAAACAATTGTTGGCGATGTGTATTTAAGTTGACTTAATAGTGTTTTCTTCTCAAGGTCATTGGGGTAAGGGTGGTAGAGGAAAAGCAGTGGATAAAGAGTCAGAGACACTGACTTCTGATCTAGGTTGTGTTAGAAGCTGTTGAGGCGTCTGTCTTCATCTCATGTCCTCAGCTGTAAGGGACAGCTCATGTCCTCTCCTCCAGTGAGGATCAGGTGAGCTGATGGACTCATTCACCTGCACATACTTGTTGATGCTCTCATAATAAGTGTTCAGAGATGGATAAAACTTGGGCCCCATCTGTAGGAAAACATTCTGGAAACTGTAGTGCTCAAATGCAGTACAATTGGTTATTGTTTCGTTTGTTGATTTGTGTCTGTTTCTTGGTCACCAATTAAATGAAAATAATACAACTAAAATAACTATTTTTAAATACAAGGACTATTGGCAGTCCTGTAATAACCACAAATGCTAAAGAAACACAGCTGTGATGTGAGCGTCATTCCCCACAAGGGAGCCTCTGTGTGTCCAGAGAGGGCAGGGACTCTCATGTGGCTCGGGTCCCCACTTGAAGGCTCAGGGAATCTAGGGGCATTTTCTGTATGAGTTGAGGCTGTGGATTTACTGGAAGACTTCGAAGTCTCAAAGTCAGTTTTCTTCTTCCATCTTCCTACAAAAAACAAAATCTGAGAACTTTTTAGATGGGTGGAAAAGGCAGAGGGAAGTGAAATTGGTAATCATGACAAACTCAAAGTGGAATTAAATCGTTGGAAGTCAAATAATAGTTATTACTCAACTATAAAATTATTGTCATTCATAGAGTAACAAAGACAGTATTCAGAAAAAGAGTATCTGACTTTAAAATCCCTGGAGCTATTTTTAAATGCATGTTGCACAGCAGAATAGAAGTTACATGTTTGAATAAGTCCCCTGATTATATAAAAGTCTTGTTCTAGATGGAATCAACTAGCCATTTTTAATGATAGTATTTCTATTGAGTTAATTTATGAATAACCTGAAAGTGTTTCTATTTGTATTTGCCCTGTATCATACAGTGTTTTACTTTTTGTATTAGTCCATTCTCATGCTGCTATGAAGAAATACCCGAGGCTAGGCACAATGGCTCACTCCTATAATCCCAGCAGGTGAATCTCAAGGTGGGCGAATCACTTGAGGTCAGGAGTTTGCGACCAGCCTGGCCAACATCGTGAAACCCTGTCTGTACTAAAAATACAAAAATCAGCCAGGCGTGGTGGTACATGCCTGTAATTCCAGCCACTCGGGAGGGTAAGGCATGAGAATCATTTGAACCCAGGAGGCAGAGTTTGCAGTGAGCTGAGATCGTACCACTGCACTCTAGCCTAGGTGACAGAGTGAGACTGTCTCAAATTTTAAAAAAAAGAAAAAAGAAATACCCAAAACCAGGTAATTTATAAAGGAAAGAGGTTTAATTGACACACAGTTCCACAGGGCTGGGGAAGCCTCGGGAAACTTACAATCACGGCAGAAGGGGAAGCAAACACGTCTTTCTTCACATGGTGGCAGCAAGGAGGAGTGCCGAGTGAAGGGTGGGAAAAGCCCCTTATAAAACCATCAAATCTCATGAGAACTCACTCACTATCAGGAAAACGGCATGGAGGAAACCACCCCTGTGATTCAATTACCTCCCACCGGGTCCCTCCCACAACACATGGGGATTATGGGAACTACAACTGAAGATGAGATTTGGGTGGGGACACAGCCAAACCATGTCACTCTTCAACTAGCGACACATAGTGTGAGTCTGTTAACACAGCTGTTCATATATCGCACGTCTGATCCTACCGTATGTTTGAAATGATAAATATAAGGTAAAAACTGTTATGATAATAAAGTGTTACCTATGATCACAACTAAGGGACCTTAAGTTAAGATGAGTAGATTAAACCTCTTAACTCTTAGGTGTGTAGTGTTATTTTTTTCACTCTTCTGTGTTGTGTGATAAAATGGTGTTGCTCAGCTGTTTTGTTGGGTGGATGTACCGAGGACAAGATCTGAAGCCTGAGGGCAGGACAGACCTGGGGCTGGGATCTTCTCCAGCCAGTCTCTGATGCGAGCTCGGTTGTATGGTAACAGCAGTATCCATACCCACCAGGCCACAGAAAAGGCATGGACTTGGCAAACTATGTCAGGTCCATTCCATTCAACGGCGGAATGAAATCTGCAGACTGTGGATAGGTAGGCTTTCCAAGCCTTAGAGCCCCTTGCACACTTAAGCTGCAGAAATAAAGCTTCATTTTGAGATCAAAGCCAAAACATACTACAACCAAACACCACAGTTATTCATTCATTCAGTAACTAATTACTGGATTCCAAACATAAATGATGAACACACAGCCCCCGCTCTCAGGGAGTCCACAGCCTGGTGGCAGAGACAGACACAGAAACAACAGAGGATGCCAAGCACTGTCCACTTAGTGGTCAGAATACTGTGCAGCACACAGGCGGGCAGAGCGGGGCACAGATACCCCATGGCGTCTGCAAGCAGTGTGTCCTACTGCAGCAGTGCTAAGCAACAGTTTACCTCATGAGGGAGAGTCGGACCCATAAAAGGGAATAAATACATTCTACCTAGCGACACACTAATCTCAGAATATTGTAAATGGTGGAAATGGCCAAGATGGCTGAACACCACAGGTGAGGTGGAGACTGGGGAGGAAGGAAGAGCTTCTGTTTGGGAGAGAACTTGAAAGCCACCCTGGAGCACATCTGAGGACACAAGTCCCTAATGCCCTGTTCTCTGGCCCCAACGCATTCCCAAATGGTGCTCATTCATCTGCTCGCCCTTCGTCTCTTCTTTCCCTCTCTCTCCCTTCCCAGTGGGTGCCAGGAAGTATATGAGGACCGTGGCAAAAACAAGAAATAGCTTGACTGAATCCTGTTCACTTCTATGGGAGGTTTGCCCATAACCTCCTCACATAGTTGACCACATAAAGGTAAAATGTAGTGTGAACTAAAGTGGAAATAAAGTCACACACTGTTTTTTTTTATTTGTCCACCGAGAGTAGAGGACATTTTCATTACAACTGAACAAAAAAAAAAACTGAAGATTAAAGACTCCAGGCATCATAATGCCAAATCCCTAAATAAATGAACATCTAAACTCCATTAAAAATAAAGAGAAAACTCTGGCAGAGTTTATTACAGGATTTTGGCCTGGAAGTCATGCAGTCTCAGCTTATCTACTCTGATGTTTTAACAAAAAATAACTTTTCTTCAAGTAGCAATTAGGGAGAAAAAGACATCACTGTATCTCTTATAAGAATTTGAAAAATGACAATAAGCAAATTGAGAGAAACATTAATTTTTCTGTATTAAATATTCAGGTGGGATGGGGATGAACATGTGACCATTTTTACTGGGTTAGACAGAGAAATCGTGGGTTCACTCTTCAGCCTCCATCCCTGTGTTTGTAAGATACTAACTAAAGGAAAACAATGTTTAGCAAAAGCTAAATGAAATACTTAAAATGTAATATAGTGTAATAATCCCTTATCTCGTTCCTGTGGGCATTCTTTCCTTCTTGACCCCTGTTCTACGTTTTTTAAGAACATCCTCCATCGTTAAGATCTCTCTGTTTACTGTGCCAAGTTGTAATTCTCAGTCTCTCTTTCCTTCTAGAGCTTCTTTGAAGGGCAGTCTGCACCATGGGACTCGGCTAAGAAAGATGAGAACAGAATGAAGAACAGATACGGGAATATCATTGCATGTAAGTGTCAACAGTGTCATTGTGCTGTTGTAGAACTTCCTTTTCGCATCTCGTAAGATTGACCACCAGGCTCATACAGAGGAAATTTACAGTGCAATTACCGCCTTCATCCTTTTAGAAGAGCTGGTGTTATGCCCAAACTAAAGAAAGGAATAACTGTCTACCCCCACTTCATCATTGTACTGTTGTTATGGGCCCTGTTTTACTTTTAGATTTAAGGTTTGGGTAACATAGGTAACATTAAAATGCTGAGAAGGAAAATGCATATTGGATGGAGTAAACATAATAGTCCTAATGTTTCCCAGCTGCTATGTGAGAATGAATGGAAATAATGATGCACAGCATGCCTTAATGCAAGGAGCTCAGAGTTCTCTGCTAACGTTAACTCATTAATCCTGTGGACACTGGGTTAGGTAGGTCAGTAATAGCCCCATTTTAAGGACAGGAAACTGAAACTCAGAAGGTAAATGATACTCCCCGTATCACAACACTCATTAGCAAAAGAGCTAGGATTATAACTTAGAAATACCCAGTGCCTGTGAAACTGAATGTTCCCAACCCATAATGCCTTGGATGGTTTTTAAGTGGAGCCCAGCCTCATTAATGTTCTGTAGCAATGCTGAGACGCGTGCTAGATTGATGATAACCCCTTCTCCCACGGCCCGCACTATCCATCCCCTGCATTAAACTGCTCTCCGTCATCCGTGACTGCATCAAGGCACTAACGGGCCCACTGTAGTCGCCTACCATAATTAATACTATTTATAAAGATACATAAATTTTAAAAAACAACACAACAATGCTGATGAGGCCAAGAGAACATCTCGCGCATCGTGTCTCATTCCTTACGAGAGAACAAACTTGGAAGGTTTGGTTATTCCAGGGGAGCGATCTGTTAGCTTTACTGATTGAGAAAGTACTGTTAAACTGTCTTTGCCTGAGTTCACATTTCTTAGTGCGACAGTACAGATTCTCTCGCAGTGCTGCCACAGGATTTCCTGTGACTGTAGAAATGTTTCATGTCTGTGCCGTCCCAGACGGTAGCCATGAGCCACATAGGAGTAGCTACACTGCGTACTTGGAATATGGCCATATGACTGAGAAAATGAATTTTATTTTATTTCTCATTTTTGCTGTTCAACAGTTTGACAACATGAATTTTAAATTTTATTTAATTTTTACTATTGTTAACTTAAACAGGTCATGAGGCTAGTGGCTACTGCGTTGGACAGCACAGATTTCAGTGTGTTTTAGAAAAAGAAATGGGGGCGGGGAGGTGTGGAGCTTATATGTGGCACAAAACATCCCAACCGAGCACGTACTGCTTTCCCGCTGGCCATCAAGAAATGATCGCCAGGGTTGCCGGGTGCAAATGCTAGCTTCGTGTGTTTGTAGTTGCTTTTAGAGCATGCTGTATTTAGTAGCACTAGAGTGGTCGTGTCAGAGTCCTTTGTAGGTAGGAGATGCTGTCTGAGGTCTAGGGTTGATTACTCCTCAGTGGATTCCATCAACACTTGTGGGACACATTCCTGATACTGGATACTGAGGACACAAAGGCCATGGAGATGAGATGGTGCCCCTGTCCCCAGGACAGACCCAACCGGACAGTCAGATCGCTATGGTGGTGGTCCAGTACCATGGCACAGGGCTGTGTTGCAGCCCGGTACACAGTGTTCCAGAGGCTCAGAGAAGGAAAACATGGTTTCTTGTTCTGTCTAGACCCTTCCAAGTTCCTTCATTTTCTCTGGGAGCCCACCGAAGCTTTGCGCTGTTAGAATTCAGATTTCTCCCGACGGCTTATGAGATCCTTTCCAGGAGTCCCTTCAGCTCTGTAGCAAATTCACAGAGATTCTTGAAAGTGAAGTGGGGAATCCCCTTCCCATACCAAGTGGAAGGGACATTGCTGAGTCTATAACTTCATTGCATAGCATCACCAATGTGGCCTCATGCTGAGCATACAGAATGCAATGTCAAGGGATGTAGCCTTGGATATGCTGAGAGATCCAGACGGCCTTTCTCCAATACAACATTGAGTCTGCTTCTTCCCAATATCTAGTTTAATACCTCCTCGTAGAGACACTGAGATATATTTTTTAATCATGAGTGAGAAAAGCTAGCATTTGCTGAGCACTTACATATGCCAGACACACTAAGTACTTTGCACATAGAAACTTACTCATTTCCTGTAACAACACCACGAAATAGGTAATATTTTTGTAGCTGTTTTCCAGGTGAGGAAACTGAGGGATAAAGAGTGTTACAGGGTTTCACAGTTAATAAGGAATGGAGGCAGGATTCCAGCCCAGGAGCAGCTTTTATAACCACTGCCTGATGGGCGCTGGGATCATTGGTCCCACTGGCCTAGTTTTCACCAGGTGCGGTGACTCATACCTGTAATCCTAGCACTTTGGGAGACTGAGTTGGGAGGATTGCTTGAGGCCAGGAGTTGGAGACCAGCCTTGGCAACAAAGCGAGACTCTGTCTCTACAAAAAAAGCAAAAAAAGTGACTGAGCATAGTGGCTCACGCCTATAATCCCAGCAGTTTGGGAGGCCGAGGCAGGCAGATCATGAGGTCAGGAGATCGAGACCATCCTGGCTAACATGGTGAAAGCCCATCTCTGCTAAAAATACAAAAAAAATTAGCCGGGCGTGGTGGCGGGTGCCTGTAGTCCCAGCTACTCGGGAGGCTGAGGCAGGAGAATGGTGTGAACCCGGGAGGCGGAGCTTGCAGTGAGCCGAGGTCACGCCATGCACTCCTGCCTGGATGACAGAGAGAGACTCTGTCAAAACAAACAAAAAAAAGAAGTAAAAAAAGTAGTTGGGCATGATGGTGTATTCCTGCAGTTCCAGCTACTCAGGAGGTGGAGGCAGGCAAACATGGGCATGGCCCTATATTGATTGTTTCCTTTCTATAAGATGTCTGCAGGCTCTCCACCACATTCCGAACAGATTTTCTCCTTTATACCTCCAGAGATCCTGCCCACTTTGTCTCCACTTGACCCTCGTAGGTATTTGGTATATAGCTGTTTGTCACAGGAACACTGAATTCTGTTCCTCTACCCATTGCTCATCACAGCTGGACAGAGAGTACATGCTTAAAAGGGTCCAATAATCTATCTCTTTATTCGATAAATATTTATTGATCACTTTCTTTTTGCCAGACTCTGTGGTAGGCACTGCTATAAAAAGATAATGAAGGCCGATAAAAAGATAATGAAAGCTGAGGCGGGTGGATTACATGAGGTCAGGAGCTTGAGACCAACCTGGCCAACATGGTGAAACCCTGCCTCTACTAAAAAGACAAAAATTAGCTGGGTGTGGTGGCAAGTCCCTGTAATCCCAGCTACTCGGGAGGCTGAGGCAAGAAAATTGCTTGAACCTGGGAGGCGGGGGTTGCAGTGAGCCGTTCATGCCACTGCACTCCAGCCTGGTGACAGAGCGAGACTCCGGAGGTCTCAAAAAAAAGAAAAAAAGAGAAAAGAAGATAATAAAACACAAATAGATATTGCCCTCCTAGTACTTACAGTCTAGTGCAGGGGGTTGGCAAACTTTTTTTCTGTAAAGGGTCCAGTAGTAAATGTTTTAGCCTTTACAGGCCAATCTCAATCTCAGTTCAGCTTCTTGGCTCTGCTGTTTTCATGCGAAAGCAGCCACAGACAATACAGAAACAGATGGATCTGACTGTGTTCCAGGGAAACTTTTTTTCAAAGCCAGGCTTTGGGCTAGATTTGGCCCACAAACAGTAGTTGGCTGACTCCTGGTTTAGTGAAGAACAGATTCTGCAAGGGGAACTTTTTCCTACCCCCCAGGGCACATTTCTACCATCAAGATTGTTTTCAACTCTCAGGACCCTGAACTTAGGATCAAATTTTTCAGCACCCCAAATATAGGTCTCAAATGTGATTTGTGTGCCTGGCACAATGTTGTCAGAGGGAGGATGAGTTTAAATCTACCTCCTACCACCATGAATTTGCAGTCTGTGGCCAGATAAGAATAAGACATGCATGAAATAATAGATCTCAGGTCCATAAATAAATGGAGAATGTATTGTGGGGACACCACTGGGGACTTGTAGGAGAAGGGTGAGTGGATGAGTGGCAGACTAATCAGGAAAGACCTTTCAGACAAAAGAGAAGGACATAGGTTTGGAGATAGGAGGAACAGTTTGGAGTCCTTGTCCTACCACGTACTGGCTCAATGACCTTGGGTGAGTCATGAGCCTTCTCAATGTCAGAATTCCCTGAAAAGATCACGTGTTGTGTAAATGAATAGAAATGCCACATTAAAACAATATTGATCGTTGTTCCTGAAAAAAAATCTCACATCTTCATTATTTCTGTTACTCTTCTTGAGTTTAGCAGATTCATTACTTCATTTAAAATGAAAAAAAAAAAAAATCAGCATGTTAAAGTCTCAGATTCCAATGATGAGCTGGTGGGTAGTTCAGGGACCATCCTCCTCCTTACTGGTGAGCACTTCTGTGTGCAGTGGCCCAGTTCTGCCCAGGCGGGACTCTGGCTTCCGTTTCCGGGCATTGTGGTGGGCTGTCATTTACCCGTGACCTCTGGGGCTACATTTTCTAGCCCTCACTGCCCTCTGTCCCATCCCTTCCGGTGCTCTTTTAGTGTTTCTTTACTGGGTTGTGTTATTTTTGTATCTTTCTAGGGACAGTGTCAAAAAGAGGCTTCTCTGTCCAGCCTCCTAATCTCCCTTTCACCTTCCATGGCATCCTGAAGCCCTTCCCTGGGCATCCGTGTTACCCCTTCCTCTAGTTTGCTTCCTATACCCACACACATAATGACCCACACATACATAATGACTCACACGTACATAACGGCTGTTTCTTTATGGGCATGGTGAATAGTATTACTATCCCCCGCCTAAAAATTATGTAACTAGAAAAGTCAGTTCCATTCCTGGGAAGCCTGCTTCCTAGAGCCTCAGACTTGGGATAACACCACTAACTAGGATGAGGAATTGGGGATTCAGTCAGCATAAA